AAATTCTCTCTTAGCTTGTCTTATTGCAGTCTTACATTTGCTTTGCCAGTGTTTATGCTCCTTTTTATTTTCCTCATTAGAATTTGACTTCCACTTTTTGGGAAAAAAAGCCTTTTTTCTACTTGCTGCCTCTGGAACACTGACATTAAACCTTGCTGTCTTTCATTTAGTCTGCTTTCCTCTTTATTATGTGTAGTATGCATTTGCTTTCTGCCTCCAGTATGGTGTTCTTTGACGTAGCGTGCCACAGCCCTATTGATATGATCTACTCTATCATTTCTGTATAATTTGTATCCTGTACCGCATCCTATTATTTTTCCTCATTCCACCACGTTGCTGACAGGATAACCATGATGTCATATCATTATTAACTGATAAGCATTCAAATTCCCCCACCGCTTATGTTCGACCTTTAGCATTAATATAAAACCTGGTATGCCTTTGTTTCCTGGTTAGTTACTTCTCTGTGGGCATGTCTACATAAAAGATATTAATGATTCATAGATTCATAGATTGTAAGGGGCTGGAAGGGACCTCGCAGATCATTGGGTCCAGCCTCCCCCCCCTCCCCAGCTCTAGGCAGGAAGATAACTGGGGTTAGGAGACCCCAGCGAGGTGCCTGTCCAGTCTCTTCTTGAAAACCTCCAGGGTAGGTGACTGCACCACTTCTGGAGGGAGTTTATTCCACCATCTGCACACCCTGAATCTGAAGGAGTTTTTCCTGGTAGTAAGCCTGAAATGGCCTTCCAGGAGTGTATATCCATTGGTCCTGGGCTTCCCCAGGAGTGCCCTAATGAACAGTTGTTCACCGAGCTCCTGATGCACTCCTCTGATATAGCAGTAAGCCGCTATCAAGTCCCCTCAACCTTCTCTTCTTTAGGCTAAAGAGGCCCAGGTCCCTTAGCCTTTCCTCGTATGGCTTGTCTTGCAAGTCCCTGATCATACGGGTGGCTCTTCTCTGAACCCGCTCAAGTTTTTCCACATTCTTATTGAAGTATGGCGCCCAGAACTGGATGCAGTACTCCAGCTGCGGTCTCACCAGTGCTGAGTACAGCGGGAGTATCACTTCCATAGTTTTACACAAGATGCATCAGTTGATGAATGCCAACATGTTGTTTGCCCTGCTGGCCACCGCATCGCACTGACGGCTTATGTTAATACAATGGTCAGTCATTGCCCCTAGGTCCCTTTTGGCCATGGTGCAAGTCAGGCTGTCACCTCTGAGCCTGTATGTATGTTGAGGGTTATTTGCCCCCAGATGGAGCACCTTACACTTGGAAGCATTAAACTTCGTCTGGTGCCAGTCTGCTTAACTCTCGAGCCTGTCCAGGTCTGCCTGTATCTGCAGCCTGTCTTCTGGTGTGACCAAACTGCCCCATAACTTGGTGTCATCCGTGAACTTAGCTAGCGAGCTTTTCACTCCCCCATCCAAATCATTGATAAGGATGTTGACAAGCACTGGTCCAAGCATGGACCCCTGAGGGACACCACTGGCCACTTCATGCCAGGATGACACAGATCTGTTCATGAGAGTCTCTGGGTCCTACCTTGTAGCCAGTTTCCCACCCACTGAACCACTGAGCAGCTGAGCCCACAGTTGTCCAGTTTTCCTACAAGGATATTGTGGGATACTAGATCAAAAGCCTTTTGGAAATCCAAGTATATAATATCTACCTTGTCTCCCATGTCCAGGTGGTGAGAGACCTGGTCATAGAAGGAGATGAGATTGGTAAAACAAGACCTACCTGCAACAAAGCTATGCTGGCTGTCATTCAGAATGAGCATTAGCCTACATTAACATGCATTACTGTCACCTGGCTACATGAGCATGTCCTTAATGCACATTAACTCAGGCTAATTGCGCCTAAATTTGATACCCACAAATGTGTATTAACACGTCTAACTTTAGTGCTGGAACTGACCAGGTACTAGAGGGCCGGCCTGAGCCCAGCCCAAGTGCTTCTGGCTGGCTGCCTCTCCTGCCTTCAATTTGAGACTAAAGTTAGTCCCAAGTGCTGGCAGCCATGTAGCCAGTGGCCACAGGAGTACATGGCAGAACTGGAGGGACTTGGGACTAACTTTAGTTCCAAGTCTCTGCACACATATAGACACCTGCCAAAAATCACTGAATGCGCATTAGCTTAATGCACATTAAATTTAGTCATGTTTATTTTCTGTGACCTTTTATTCATTAAAGGCATTTGCCTGTGCTTGTTTTCATCCTGTTTCTTGTCCCCATTTTTTAATGGTCTCACCCCTACAGAGGGCATGTCAATCTGAACTATGTGCTGTTCTGCACCTGTCAGCTTTACCCCTGTTTTTAGTTTAAAAGCTGCCTTACCACCTTTTTTAATGTTGCATGCCAGCAGTTTGGTACCATTTTGGCTCAGGTGGAGACCATCCCTTGTGTACAGGCTCCCCTTGCTCCAAAGGGTCCCCTTAATAAACTTAAACCCTTCCTCCCTGCACCATGCATTGACAGTCTAGAGCTCTGCCTGCCTACGTGACCCTGCACGTGGCACTGGAAGCATTTCAGAGAATGCTACTATAGAGGTCCTAGACTTGAAGCTCCTATCTAGCAACCTAAACTTAGCTTCCAAGATCTCTCTGCTTCCCTTACCCAAATCATTGGTACCCACATGAACCACAACCTCTGGCTCATCTCCAGCTCTTCCTAGCAGCCTGTCTACACATCTCATGAGGTCCATTACCTTTGTACCCAGCAGGCAAGTCACCATGAGGTCCTCTTTGACATCACAAACCCAGCTATCTATGTGCCTAATAATCAAATCACCCACTACCAGTACCTGCCTACTTCTATGCTGTGGGGTTCCCTCCCTTGGAAGAGTATCTTTGGTGCAAGCAGATGCTGTAACATCTTCTGGAAGGTGGGTACCATCTTAGGGATAGTTTCTCTCCTTCCCAGTTTGATGCACTCCATCCCTGAAGCTCTCATCCTGCTCAGCAGCATGGGAGCTGCTACAGTGGAGATGGGTCTGCTCTACAGTATCCCTGAAAGCTTCATCTATGAACCTCTCTGCTTCACATAGCTGCTTCACTTGTGCCACCCAAACCCTGAGAGAATGTACTTGCTCTCCCAGAGCCAGGAGTTTAGGTGCCAGCAGGGCTAGGGAGAGATTTCTATGTTGTCAATTTTGGTCTGAGGCACATACAATGCTTTGGCTCTGCTGTGAAGGGTACATGTTGCTCCTCTTTGCAACCACCCATGGAAGGAGTAAGATGAGAATAATGGTGTTTGGGTAAATTTCAGTCACATGAGGGCTCTTGCTGCTTCCACTGCAATTGCATCTGTCCATCTCTTTTACCTCGTGCACACCATCTGCCACCAAGTGCCAGGCACTCTCTGGTATGGGAAGACTGGTCTACCATTTAGGTTGCTAGCCTCTGGCTCAAAAGACCTAACTTTGATTCCAGACTCAGTCAGAGAGATTAAATGAGTAATTTGGAGTCCTCCAGCATCCCAAGATGCAGTGCTTCCAGCCCTCACCTCCATCCCCAGAGCAGGGATGGAGCTCAGGTATTCTGGCTCCTAGCTGCCCCCCTGCTTGCCAGGCTTCTATGGGCAAGTCAGAGCTGTGCTGGCAAGAAAAGGTATTAACGTGTGACTGCTCACAACATGTTCTACCTTTAGCACCAGTTAACACTCCACACATTTAGTATGGTTTTAGTGTAATGTGCAACTTCACCTTCAGATCCCGATCTGTGAAACTGGGCTAACACAGCACCATGTGTCATGAGAACAGCATCCATTAATGACTGCAAGGTATTCAGGTGTTACAGTGAAAACAGTCATTTAAGAATCTAGATACATGTTACTTGCATGTACAGCACCAAGCACAATGGGTGCCTGATCCTGAACTGGGGCATTATAGAAATAATAATGAAATAAATAAAGAAGGAAAGAATAATAATACTGTCAGGTTTGACCTAGAAACCACTACACATAGCCCAAGCAAAAGTCTCTGTTATGTAACTAATGTCCAACTGCAATGATAAGGAGAAGACAGTCTTAGATAAAGGAGGCTTGAAAACAAAAACAGAATTAGTGGACTAGGGCAAAGGACTGATTTAAATATTAAGATTCACACCCCTAGGTGGGGAGAAAGTATGCTAATGAAACATACATGTATGGAAATGAGATACATAGCTAAAACACAGGTATAGAGACATGCTCAGTAAAGAACTCCTTGCGTCACTCCCTTATAATCAATTAGCAAACAAGAATGCTTATGAAGGTCCAATACTCCTGTATAAAAGATGCTTAGTATTGAGAATCTGTGTGCTTGTTACGTGAAATTATTCCGCTTGCACCTTGTATTGCTAGCAATAAATCTTTATACTTTCACCCCTGGTATCTTTATTGGCTTTTGCATACTGGGCACGATCCCAGACTTGAGCTGGGGCTCAACAGTACTAGCTCCCCGTTGGGGTTCATGCAGTTTTCTGCTCTTCTCCTTACTCTCAGTTCGACACGGTGATACTATAATAGCAACATATTTAAACCTACAATAGGGCATTCCAACCAGCTTCAGTTACTGCCAAGATCAATACATTCATACATCCGTGGAAGCAAGTGTGGTGCCAGCTCATTCAGAGTAACATTAGCATTGTTTCCCTTTGTCGTCTCTAAATCAAAGCCAGAAATACCACGTTGTTCCACGGCACCTGCATAAACACCAATGGGAAAAGCCTCGTTTTACTCAGTTAAGTTACATGTCCCAAGCCCTTTTCTTTGTAAAAAACGAGCAGAGTGAGTGACGCCAACAGAACGAGTTAGTCCACTTCACAGAGCAAACCTGCAGATAAGGGGCTTAGAGACTTGGATTGGGGTTGTGGAAACCCATGCTCATTACCTGCCATCAGGAAACAGCTCCTTTAAAATGCTCCTGCATTCACTAATGACAGCGCAGCTCAGCTTCTCCTTTTACTTTGAAACCAAGTCGGGGCAGCAGAAGGAACATGTTCTCTTGTCTTGACAGCTCGATCAGCTCCTTCAACAAGTGGCATTGTGAGTGATCTCCCTTTGAAGCAGCAGCGGTGAAGCAAGTGGTGCTGGTGTAAGATGGTGGCATAGATCCCACCGGGGGACCTTTCCTGAACGGAAACTGAAACAGGTAAAATACTCCAGGGTTTTCATCCAAAAGAAACGGTGCTGACCTGGATTTGTAAGAGGCGCTATTAAGACCCACTAACCTAATGACAAGCTCATAGAAATCAGGAATGAAAAAGAGCTTTGAGGTTGTGCAGACCAGTACTGTATATTTTGAAAGCTAAATCTGAGTAATATGTTTTGTTTTCAGGTAAGGGTTAAACAGCAAACCTGTATACTATGGTGCAGGGAAGAGATTTGGTAGCAAATTTGGGTCTTTCTTGCTTGTATCTCAACTATCCTGAGAATGAAACATGCTAAGGAGTCTAGACACTGTTTTCTGCTGGCCGATCTATCAGCACCAACACCAAAATTAGAGCTGGTTGAAAATCTTCCATTAAAAAAAAAATGTGTTTAATGTAAAATTGGAGGTTTGCTCAAATGAAAATTCCCACAGGAACTGGATGCTTTACTTGATATCTATCAATAATTTCTCCACTAAACTTTTCAGTTTTGATTTCTGAAAACTAAATTCGGTGTTTTAGTTCTGGGTTTTCCAGTGCAATCTGAGATGTTCTTCCAAAAAAACTTACTTTATTTTTTATTTTTTTGTGGAAAATTTCAACAGAAAAAAACAAAGCTGTTCTTAAGCATCCTTTCTGGGCTTCCTGACAGGAAAACCACCAGAGCAAATGAAGAGAGAGAGAATGGTTGTAAGGGGGAAGAAACGGAGGTCACAAAATTAAAGAAATTAGAAAGTCCTTGGTTTTAAAGTCATATGGGACCACAAGGATCAGCTAATCTGACCTGTAGCTTGATAAATCATTGAATTTCCC